AACTCACAAATTAAGGAACGTGCCTTGCTGAAAGTAGATGGAGAATTCATCAAAATCCGCATGAAAAATCTAACCCTTGTTGATTCTGGAACAATCAGTATTTCTGCGGAAAGTTCCAATGGAACTGCTCATAAAGAGTTGGAGATTTGTGTCCTAGACGCTCCATCTGCTCCTCTCCAGTTGTGCAGCACAAACACAACTTTAAACGCGACTACGCTATCATGGAAAGCTCCTAGGGACACCAACGGGTCTCAAATTATGGGCTACATTATCCAGCGCAGAACATTAGACCATCCCAGGTGGCGAACAGTCGGCAAGACGAACGAAACGACCCTCACATTTGAGGCAGGCGACCTATTTTCGAATGAGGAATACGAATTTAGAGTTATAGCCGTAAATAGCATAGGGGAGAGTCCGGCAAGTAACCAGATAGAGGTTGCCACCCTGAGTGAAAATGAGGAAACCTTCGAAATTCCTTTAGTTGAGGAAGTGACGTTGGAAGCTCCTGCGGCACCACTTATTAAAATAGATGGCGTAAGAGTGGCTCTAACTTGGAATGCTGTAGCTGGAGCTTTATTTTACAAAATCGAACGCTGCAAAGAAGGAGGTGATTGGATTGAAGTAGCAGTTGTGGCTAAAACAATGTATGTGGATGCTTCTATTATGGATGACAGCGAGTACAGCTATCGAATAACAGCGAAAAGCTTAGACTCAACATCTTTGCCGAGTAGCAGCTCGATCCCAACGTCACTCAAGGAGAAGAAGATGACTGAACAAGACCGAAAAGGAACTGATGAGAAGAAAAATTTAAAAGATGAAATCAGTGAGAGCTGCAAGACTTTGGTCAAAGAAAATCCGGAGGATAACAAGGAGGAGAAAGTCGAGGAACAGGGAAGAGAGGAAGCTGCACCAAAAATAAAGAATAAAAAGCATGCTAGCCCTGTAGATGCCATTTTGGACACTAAACAAAGGCTGAAAAAAAGAAAACCAGTAGAAGTTGAACGCAGAGCTTCGATACAACAGGAAAGCATAGACGTCAAACAACAGAAGCAGCCAGGGTTTGAAGAAATGCGCGATAATGAGACAAAAGATGCCGTTACCAAAATAGAATTGGAAGAAGTTGGAACAGGAAAAGCCGTAAAAATCCAAAATGAGTCTGACGCTACTCCAAC